CGTGTTTGCATGTGCAGAAACTTAAAAGTTGATATCAGGTGTCTTCTTCAATCTCTATCCACCTTATTACTACTGTTGTGAGTGTGGACACTTTGGGGCACCTGTGGGGTGTCATGGCAAATATGTGAAGGTCAGAGGCCCTCTTTATGGGATTGGTTCTCTACTCCCAGCTTTACATGGGTTCAAAGCATTGAATTCAGATTGCTATACCTGAGTGGAAAGTGCCTATACCCACTGAGTCATCTCCCAGGTCTCTACCTTGGTGAGGTTTTTTTTTTGTTTTGTTGTTGGTTTTGTTGTTTGTTTGGTTTTGAGACAAGATTTCTTTGCCTGAAAGCTACCAAGTAGGCTAGACTGGCTAGCCAGTGAGCCCCAAGGATCTTCCTGCCTCTGCCTCTCCACTGCTGGGATTGAAGGAGTTGGCCACCATAACTGGCTTTTAATGAAGGCTCTGGAGATTCAAATTGAGGTCCTCATGCTTGCAAGGCAAGAACATTACCTAGAGAGGCATCTCCCCTGCTCATGGAAGCTTCCTGTTAAGCACAACATGCCCCAGAAGCTGGGGAGTTGCAGTGCCTATTGCTCCCATAGCTGTTCAGCTCACAACACAGGGGCAATAAGTAAGTCAATCTCTGCTTCTGTCTCAGTGGGAAAACTCATTTTTCCTTTGGCAGATGGTTGAATCCCAAAGACAGAAGGATTCATAAAATTCACATGAACATCCTGTAAACATTTAAACACATTGAGATTAGATAAGGCAACCATGACCTTGATTAAAGTTGAGCTATTTTTTTTTAAGTCTACAGCGATAATCCTTCCAATTTGCAGGCTCAGACTCCATGCCTTTCTTGAAAGGTTCCCCTTCTCATTGAGTATGCTGTGTATATGAGCAAGCACACGCCACCTGATTAACTTATTGTAAGACTGGAAATGAAAGGCATCAAAAGAAACATTTTGGAACACCTATTCGAGTCTTACTCCACTGAATTGGCCTGAGTCTACAACATGGGAACATTTAAATAAAGATCAATTGGTAAGTTACAGAAAACATATTCATCATACCCGACTGTTCCAATCCATGTCCCTTGCCAATTAACTGTTTTATCCCAACTGGAGATGCTGGCCCAGAACTAGATTTGTGTAGGATTGAAAATTCTGACCTGCAGAGGCTAAATGGCTTGTTCAAGCTCACAAGCAGAGGGATGGACTTGAGCCAGGGCCCCTTGCTGTTACAGCCTGGGGCTCTGTCTCCAAGCTGAGCAAGCCAACACCAAAGCTGCCAATTCCCTAGTCCCTGGCCCAATCAGCTTGTGAGCTTATCACTGCCCTCAAACAGTGAAATTTTATGAACCAAATCTACACACCCACCAGACCACCAGGCTTGGAGGCATAACCTTCCCAGCTAAGCCTGCTACTCTGAGACCAGAAAGCTGCCAGGCTTCGGTGAGGGAAAGGGGGTGATATGTGGCTTTGAACACCTGGCTCTGAAGGATGCCAATGTGAGACTCCCTAAAGCTCTTGTTAAAATTGTTCAGTGAGAGAAGGCCTTTAAGAATGTCACAACTGTGTCTGTGTCTGCTCTCTGGCTTAAACCTGTCCTTTCTGACAAAGCTTTAAAAGTGTGTGTGTGTGTGTGTGTGTGTGTGTGTGTGTGTGTGTGTGTGTACTGTTTTATACACACATACATATAATATGCACACTGACTGACATTTTAGGCAAGCCAGCTTCTCAGATTTACTTGAACCTGATATAAGAGAAGATGACAGCTCAAGGACCTGTCAACCATGTATCTAGTAAGCACTGCTGCTACTACCAGGAGTAAAGACAAACACCAAACCACACTTCCCTAGTGAGGCAGGCAGCATGAGTTACTGATATCAATGATGTGCAATGATTTTTTTAAATTTTTTTCCTTTTAAGGTAGTTTTTTCTGATGTTTGGCAGTTTTGAAAACTATGCTGATGTTGTCTGAGATCACCAGCATCACTCAAGCTCCTTCTCCAGGGAGGAAGGGCTGTGAGTACCAGGCAGTCTACTGCTTCAGCAGCACCTGTACTTGTACACCTATTGAGGCTCTTGTCATTCATGCTGCCAATGGGAATTAGCATAAGGCATTAAGGGGAAACTCCAGGGGAGGAAAGAAAGGCCATTTGGATGGAAATAAGGGGCAAAGGAATAATCTGTCATCAACTAAAATGCTTATTTGTGTATTTTCCCAAGCAAAGCTTAGGAGAAAAGCCTGTGTTGATTTTAGTATACACAAAGAAACCTTAATCCTTTCAAGGCAACTGAAATCACCCCTCACTAGTCTCAGAAAAGCAGCTCAGAAGAAAGGCACCCGGTCAGGGGCATGACTGTTCACTGCCAAATAGACGCCACACATCACTCAGTGTAAGTAAACAAAAATAAGAATGTGGGAAGTGTTGGATTGGAAGCCCAAGGGTGGGAGTGGGATGGGAAAAAGAGAGAGGAGACATTAAGGAGAGAGAGAAGGGGCTCTTCAGCCATCAGCCTGTCTTCCTCCTCTTCCTAAAGTTGCAATTAGAGGCAAACACAGAGCCAGCTTAGAAAGGGCCATAGCAACTTAACACAAGAAAGACACCATCCCAGGTGACTGGAGACTTGTGTGCTGGGGTTGGGAAGGTCAGAGAGTCATAGAAACTGCTTTGGGTAGTAACCTGCCTGCCACAATTTTCCCTCCTTTTTTATCAAGACACCTCTTCCAAAGTCCACTACTTCTTTCCTCCCAATATCAGGATCAGAAACAACCACATAGTCCTGCCCTGGAGGGGGATGAGCTGTCAAGCATCCACATCAGCTTTTACTGGGTATTTAGCATTAAGGATAACAAATTTATACAAACTTCTCAGGCCATTAAATATGATGAGATATAAAGCTGGAATCGTACCATACAATTAAATGCAAGCTCATATTCAACATGACATTAATTCTGGGAGTCCCAGCAAACTTACAAGCACACAAGACTCCAGGGGACAACTTTAAATATAATGTACCATTTAAAAACCAAGCTAGATTCGATTTTAAAATAATAGAAGAGTACAAAATAACTGTACACAGAAACATCTTACTAACTAGTGAGCAAAAAGAATAAAAATTAAAAAAGTTTCTAAATGAAATAAACTGCTGAAATGGTCTCCAATTTTGCCCCATGGGCACCTAAATCCTGATCCAGTGTTTGTATAG